AAAGAAAGAAAGAAAGAAAGAAAGAAAGAAAGAAAGAAAGGAAGGAAGGAAGGAAGGAAGGAAGGAAGGAAGGAAGGAAGGAAGGAAGGAAGGATGGAAGGAAGGAAGGAAAAGATAAAAAGAGTGGAAAAAGAAAGAAAGGAAAAAGGAGGGAAGGAACGAAGGATTGAGTAAATAAATACCAGGGAAAAATTGTAATCCATTTACTGTTTCCTTTTAGTTTTCATTAAGTGTGTTCAGCAACAGAAGTAAACGGAAATCGGATACAAAAAATAAGTGAGGAGAGTGAAAAGAAAAAAGAAAGAAAGGAAGGAAGGAAGGAGGAAAGTAAGCGGAAGGAAGGTAGGAAGGAATAGCTAAAAAGAGGGGAAAAAGAAAGAAAAGAAGGAAGGAAGGAAGGAAGGAAGGAAGAAGGGAAAAAAAGGAAAGGTGGGAAAAAGGAGGGAAGGAATGAAAGAATACAACATCAAACTTTCATTAAACATATCAATGGCTAAGTACATTTTTTAAAAATGTTCTTCTGGGAGACGTTACTCTAAGAATTCAAATGCTTTCATGGTCTGAATGCTGATCTGCTGCATGGAAGAGAAAATGCCCTGTCAGAATCAGTTTCCTGTTTTTGTTCAGAAGAGAAGGCAAAATCAGTCAGTGTGCCTGTCTTGCACAATAATACACAGCAGTGTCAGAAGCTGACAAGGAGTTCAGCTGAAGGGAAAATTCATTCTTGGAGTTGTCTGAAGTGATGGTGGTGCGGCTTTGAAGAGAAGATGAATACCATTTTCTCCCATCATAGGGGGAGATTTCGGCTATCCATTCTAAGCCTTTCCCTGGAGGCTGACGGATCCAATCCCAAAGATAGCTACTATCAGTGATGGAGACACCAGTAACTTTACAGACCAAATTGAGATTTTGACCTGGTTTTACACTTCCTGGCCCCGATGACACAAGTTGAACCTCAGATAGGGACCCTAGAGAAGTAAGAGAAATAAAAATTAGAATTCAGAAACATCGGAGAAAGAAATCATATTGTTGCTTTCGGTAAAATTGTGTCCTCACCTTTTGGCATGGCTATGAGAAAAAAGAAAAACAGACAGTAACTCATAATGGTTCCTTAAAAAATTTTCTCCAATTTAACGTGTCCTCTTTGAGGAAAATGTGGCTATCAAAAAGAGAGTTCTGCTTTTAAAGAAGAAGACCTCATGATATTTGCATAAATCAGTGGGCTATAAAATAGCTCNCACCTCGGAAGGATGGAAGGCTGAGTCAACCTTGAGCTGGTGAGATTTGAACAGCCAAACTGCAGAACTGCAGTCAGCTGAAGTAGCCTGCAGTGTTGCATTTAACCACTGAACCATCTCGGCTCTAAGTGGAAAGTGGAAGAAAGAAAGAAAGAAAGAAAGAAAGAAAGAAAGAAAGAAAGAAAGAAAGAAAGAAAGAAAGAAAGAAAGAAAGAAAGAAAGACAAAAATGAAAGAGGAAAGAAAGAGGAAGGAAGATAGGAAGGAAAGGATAAAAAGAGTGGAAAAAGAAAGGAAGGGAGGGAGGGAGGGAGGAAGGAAGTATGGATTGAAGGAAGAAAGGAAGAAAAAATGGAAAGAAAGGAAGAAGGAGGGAAGGAACGAAGGAGTGAATAAATAAATACCAGGGGAAAATTGTAATCCATTTTCTGTTTCCATTTAGTTTTCATTAAGTGTGTTCAGCAACAGGAGTAAACAGAAATCGGATACAAAAAATAAGGGAGGAGAGTGAAAAGAAAGAAAGAAAGGAAGCAAGGAAGGAAGGAAGGAAGGAAGGAAGGAAGGAAGGAAGACCAGGGGAAAACTGTAAATTTAACCCATTTTCTGTTTCTTTTTATTTTTCATTAAGGACATTATGATCCTGTTGTGACTCGGCAGAAACCTCCTGTGAGTTGTTTCGGGATGCACGCAGGAGAAGGGCTGACCGACTCACAGGAGAGGTTAATGAGCTGCTGTGGTTCGTTAGGATCTCCTCCTGCGGAGAAAAGACGGATGGTGCCACGCCCTGGTTGCAAAAGTCAACGTTCCATTCAGTTCCGTTTCTGTTCTAGTCAAGCTCTCAGTTTGTGTTCAACCATTGAGAAAAAGCACTTGGATAAGTGACTTGATTTATATAATCCTGTTTTGAATTAGTTTATGAGTGAGGACTTTTGCCAGAGCATTTATCTGTGTTTATTTTGGGCTCGCAGCCAGCAAGAGCCGGGACTGATAAAAGGATTCCTTTGAAGTTCTGTTTGGCTTTAGTTTTTGAACGGGCAAGGTGGGGGGTCAGAACAGATCCAAACTTTGTCTTATTTCTACCTGGACAAATATGAACAAATATATGTCATTTCCATGCCATCAAAACGCACTTACTGTTATATTTTATTAAGGTTCAAATGAATAAACAGACATGATTCATTGTAGTTGGACAGATCTTTTGGTTAGAATGGGGTTTGTCATCATCTGTTTCAGCTGAATTTAATAGAATAATGGGATAACAGAATTGGAAAGGACCTTGAAGGACTTCTAGTCCAACCCTCTGCTCAAGCAGGAGACCCTATCACATTTCAGACAAAGGGTTATCCAATCTATTCTTAAAAACTTCCCACGTTGGAGCACCCACAATTTTTGGCGCCTAATAGAGATTAATTGTTCTAAATGTCAACAAATTTATCTTTAGTTATAGGTTGGTTCTCTCTTTGATTGGTTTCCTCCATTACTTCTTGTCCTGCCCTGGAGAGTAGCTTGACTCCCTCTTCTTTGTGGCAGCCCCTGAGATATTGAAACTGCTATCATGTCACCTCTAGTCCTTCTTTTCATTAAACTTTCATTAAACATATCAATGGCTAAGTACATTTTTTTAAAAATGTTCTTCTGGGAGACATTATACTGAGACTTCAAATGCTTTCATGGTCTGAATGCTGATCTGCTGCAAGGAAGAGAAAATGCCCTGACAGAATCAGTTTCCTGTTTTTGCTCAGAAGAGAAGGCAAAATCAGTCAGTGTGCCTGTCTTGCACAATAATACACAGCAGTGTCAGAAGCTGACAAGGAGTTCAGCTGAAAGGAATATTCATTCTTGGAGTTGTCTGAAGAAATGGTGGTGCGGCTTTGAAGAGAAGATGAAAACCATTTTTGCCCATTATACGGGTAGATTCCGGCTATCCATTCTAAGCCTTTCCCTGGAGGCTGACGGATCCAGTGCCAATCATAGCTTCTATCTGTGATGGAAACACCAGTAACTTTACAGAGCAAATTGAGATTTTGACCTGGTTTTACAGTTCCAGGCCCCGATGACACAAGTTGAACCACAGAAAGGGACCCTAGAGA